AAATGCTGGTCTTCCCTTCTGGCGAGTTATTGAATGCTGATTTTCCCTTCTGGTCCTGCTACTGAGTACTGGTTTTCTCTCTGGTGGTTACATATAGAATGTTCTCTTTATGTTGAGGACATGCAGTTGCTCTGGGTTGAGTTTAGGTGTGGAATCATTTCCATTAGTGCACACAAGAGCCYTTGGAGGGTGAGCCCTCATATCTTTCCTATTCTGGGAGGCCTCGTGGTCATAGTTTCAAAGAGGCTGTACACATGACCACTGCAGGAGGAGGCATGGCTTGTCAACTGTAGATAGAGATGTGCTCCAAGATGAAGATCTGTTATTCCAAGAGTTCTTACCTGCAGAGTAGTCCAAATGTGTCTCCCTCCCATGAAACTCCAGTGGCAGAGGCAGCTGCCCACATCATTGTTCTTGTTCTCAGTGGCTGAAAACTAATGGTGGCTCTGGACTTTGCTGAACTTAGAACTAGTGCAGTTTCCCTGTCTCTTTTCCTCCTACCAAATGCCATCTCTCTCTCCTCCTCCTTCCTTTCAAATGGTTAAGGTTGAAAATCTCTATGTTCTTTTCTGAAACCAAATACTCATCCTCTGTCTACATTCTAAATGCTGGAAATCAGAAGTGTCTGCACGGCTGTGACTGGACAGAATTCACTATGGAGCCTGCTAGGATGTACTTCCTAAGGAGGACTTCAACATGACCTCCTTGGTGGTGGTGTGGCTCAGTGGTTGAGCACCTGCCTAGCATGTGTGAGGCCTAGGTTCAATTCCTAGAATCACAAATAAGGTAAAATTATCTCCCATCCCTTGTTTCTTCCCATACTGTGATTTTGGTGCTTTCTCCCCTTGAATCCAGGTGGGCTTGCAATAGGCCTAATCCAGTGGCAGGTCACTGGAGAACCATGCACCTTTCCCCATTAGAATGCTAGCACTCAGCAGCCTTTGCTCAGACCAGGATTGTGCCCTGTCCCAAACCCACATGGTAAAGTCCTGTCTTCAATGTGGCTGTAACTAGAGGTGGGGCAATGTGGCTGTAACTAGAGGTGGGGCATGGGAGGAAGGAACTGAAGTCAGAGGGTGGAGTCCTGATTAGTGTTCTTATGACAGTGTAAGCTCATGTGCAGGCACTCAGCCATTGGAGGAGGCACCCATGGGGGCAGGATCACCCTGACCGGGAGCACCGGGAGCACCTGGATCTTGGATCTGCCAGCACCCAGAACTCTGTGAAATAGATTTCCATTGTCAAAGCCACCCCATCTGGTATGTTGTTAAAACAGCCTAAGCTAGCAAACACAATTTCCCTACTCTCCTGCCCCACCATACTGTGAGGAAGCACAGCTGTCTTGGAGAGGACGTGAGGCCCCATTCTCAGCCCTGGCCAGGCACCCTGCCTCTAGCCAGCTTCAGAATTATTTGGAAGTGGACTCTGTGGTGCAGAAACAAGCCAGAAATGGAAGATCCATGAGCAAACTCGATGACAACTGTTGTGAAGCAATAACCGATCTATGCTGCGAACTTGTTTCCCTGAGGACTACAAAGGTGAAGATGTCTGCAGAGTGGCCTTGGGCTTGGCAACCAACACTCTGCCTCTAAATGCAGATAGTTTTTGCATTATCTGTGCACACCCAGTGTTGCTCCAGAGCAGTGCTGCCCTTGGCTCCCACTCCTCTGAGGACCTCTTTGGAAACCTTCAGGCTCTTCCTTGATCCCTGTGCTCCTGTGTCCACAACAGCATGTGCTGCCGTGTGCCCTGGCTTGCAGCAATGTGGGGTATCAGTGAGCTTTCTACCCAGAGGCCAGTCTTCTAACTCTCGGAAACACGTTAAGATGTCTTTGTACTTTCTTCTCCTCTGGAATTGCGACCAGATACTAGCCTTCAACTATTTTTTTTTTTTTTTTAAACTGGAGACTGAACCCAGGGGCACTTCACCACTGAGCTAATCTATAGCCCTTAATCTTGAGACAGGAAGTCAGTAAATTGCTCAGGCCCTTGCCAARGTGCCGAGGCTGGCCTCCAACCTTCGATCCTCCTTTCTCAGCCCCCTGCCCCTGCCACTGGGGTTACAGGCATGCACCTTCATGCCTGGCTTAGTCTTGAACTTCTAAGTGTCTATGTTTCCCTGTTTATTTTTTGAGTGATTCCTATGATTTCGTCTCCTCACATTACTGTCATCCTCTCCAGTCCACAGCTGGGTCCAGCTGACAGGTTCCTCATGTGGTTGCAGGCTCAAGAGAGGCTCCTGCCTCAGTCTCCCAAGCAGCTGAATGAAAAGGCACACACCCTCATACCTGGCTTAGGTCCTCCTTTCAATTTATGTTGGTCTCAGGGGTCCACATTGGAAGTCTCCCTAAATATTCAGTGATCCTGGGGCTGGCGGAGAACACTTGTCTGGCAGGTGTGAGGCACTGGGTTCAATTCTCAGTACCACATATAAATAAATAAATTAAATTAAATCCATCAACAACTAAAAATATTAGAAAAAAAAAGTATTCAGTGATCCTTAGCTACATGTTTAAGAACAAGGTGATAGGAAGCAGGTAAGGAGCTAGCATTCCAGAGTGGGTCTTGTCAAATGCTGGGCCTTGCTGTGGGAAGGCTGGGTGGGCAGTCCACTGTGAGGCCCACCCAAGTGCCACACTTCAGGGGCTCTTTGGGGACAGTGAGTCTCTCTCTGGATGCCTCCCTGCCTCACTTGTGCTGTGTGGTCTGACTCACACTTAGGCATACACACACATTCCTGGATCCTCTCTCCACCTTTCCAGGACCTGTACCCGGCAGAGGAGACTCCAGGCCAAGGTTCCTCTGGCTTTGTCACTCACCTTTGCATCTGGACATCTCTGGCCCTGTCTCCCTTCTAATACCCTTTCTTGCTCCCCTCTGACAAGTGAGCAGGCCCCCAGTAAGGAACAGGGAACAGCAAGTGCCCAAACTATCACTCTGGTGCAGAGGGGCTTGATTCTAACCCAGATTGTGCTGTTATCCCTGGGACTTCTCCCCTCCCTGGGCTTCATTTCTTTGTCTGTCAAACAAAGAGGGTGGCCCAAGTACGGTGTTCTCAGGTGGCTCACCCTGACCCATTTCTCTCCAGGGCCGAGTCTCACCTTTGCACACATGGTCACCTGGATCCTCTGTAGCAGAGGACACACAGGCTGTGTTCAATCCTGGCTTTACTATGTTCTCACTGTGGTCTTGAGGGTATCACTTTATCTCCTGGAATCTCAGTTTCCGTGTCAGTTGACTGCAGCTCATTACCTGTCCTGACTAGGAGTGGGTCCCCGCCCCAGGCTGGCCCAGGGCTGGAGCTTGACCACGAGTGTTCTCTCTCCCTTCTAAGGTCAGCCTGTGCCAACAATAAAAAGAATGGTCTTTTCAGCACCTGCCAGGCTGGCCACTTGTCATTCTCATGAGCCACAAGGCAAGAACCATTTCCCTATTCCCCAAAAGGAAAGCGAGGACACCAGGAAAAACTAAGACTTCTTGGAAGTTAAAGATGGGATTGTTGGGCTGGGGATGTGGCTCAAGTGGCAGTGTGCTCGCCTGGCAGGCGCGCAGCGCTGGGTTCAATCCTCAGCACCACATACAAATAAAGATGTGTCCGCCGAAAACTAAACAATAAATATTTTAAAATTCTTTCTCTCTCTCTCTCTCTTAAAAAAAAATTTTTTTAAAATGGGATTGTTCAGGGGCTCAGGTTGTGGCTCAGCAGTCGAGCACTGGCCTAACAAGTGCAAGTTGCTGGGTCTGATCCTCAGCACCACATAAAAATAAATAAATAAAATAAAGTTATGGGACTGGGATTGTGGCTCAGCGGTAGAGTGCTCGCTAGCACGGGTGGGACTCGGGGCCGATCCTCAGCACCACATAAAAAATAAAGGCATTGTGTTGTGTCCATCTACACCTAAAAAATAATTATGTTTTAAAAAACGGGATTGTTCGGTCTGGGAGTGTAGCTCAGCAAGAGTGCACCTGCCTAGCATTGCAAGTCCCGGAGTTCCATCCCCAGCACCATTTGCACAAGATTGCTAAAAGAAAAATTCTATATGAAAGCTGAGAGAGACGAAATTGAAGACTAGAAGTATAGCATCAGCGAATATGAGCAACAGGCGAGGCCCCAAGGGTGGAGGGTGTGTGGCCACTTGCCGCCAGCAGATGAAGTCTGCGGAGTCCCGGGGAGGGCAGGGCCCACGGGTCACACCATCAAAGCCGTGGCAGGCACCTGGTTACAGTCACTGAAGGCACCTCACCGACAAGCACTCACGTCTACCGACAAACGGCCCAAGTCCCTGCCTTGYGCTGGCACGGTGGTGGGCACAGATCCGCTGGCCGGGAGCCCACTTTCTCTTGGGAAGACAAGCCACAAACAGAACAACGTCAATTGCAGGGGGGCGGGAGGTGCAGAGCTGGGGATGCACGGTGCGGTCCCGCATGCACCATCAGAGAGACCCGGGCGCAGCGCGGGGAGGAAACGGGGGAAGGAGCACAGGCCTGCGCCCGCCGGGCTGAGGCCGCGGGGAGGCCGCCGCACTCGGGCCTGGGCCCCACGGGACCTCGCTGGGTGGGGGGCACCACCCAGCCGTGGGTCAGGCCCTGAGCCTTACCAGCAGCAGYCCGTCTTGGAGTCCCAGGTGGGGGCACTGAGACCAGAGGGGCCAGGCACTCGCCCCAGGACAGGCCGTGCTGGGCGGCTGCTCTCAGGCCCGGGTGCGCGATCCCGGCGCCGGCCGCGCTGGGGCTGGGGGGAGGCAGGCGGACCGTGAGGACGCGGCGGGTTCCCAGCCCGAGCGTCCGTCCCGGAGGCCCGGCGGGCGCCCGGGGGAACACACCGACTGGGCACGCGACGCGCGGACCGCGGGGAGCGTCCGTCCGCCCGCTCCTCCCAGGAGCCCGACCCCGTGGTCCGGCGTCCCCGCGGCGCGCCTGCGCYTCGCCCCTCCCGCCCGCCGCGCAGCCTGCTGGGACTTGTAGTCCGGCGGCTGCCGGCCSGGACGCCGGGACTCGGAGTCCCAGAGAGCCGCGCGACCGCCACGACGCCTCCGCTGCCGCCGTCTTCTCGCGGGCTAGGGGCCCCGGGCGTTCCGGGAGAGCGAGGCGGCGCTGGGAGCCCGCGGGCGCTGCGGAGCGGGCCRGGAGGCTGGGATGGAGCCCCCCGGAGGTGGGCGGGCCGCGCCTGCCGGGCGGGGAGGCCGGGGCGCGGGCCGGGCGGAAGCGGGCGGAGGGAGGCGGCCGGCGGGGCCTCCCGGCCGACCCCGCTGACGAGCGGCCTGCGTCCCCAGGGGCCTGAGCGAGCGGGCCGAGCGGGCCTCCCGGCCGCGGACCGACGGCCGCGCGGACATGGCTCACCTCCGCGGCTTCGCGCACCAGGTGAGGCTCGGCGGCCGCGCGTGCGGGCGGTGGTGGTGGCGGAGGGCGGCGGCCGCAGGCCTGGCGGCGCGGCCCGCGGCGGAGGGGGCCGGAGGTGGCCCTGCGGGCGCGCCGGTCAGCAGGTGCGGGGCCGCTGGTGCGGAGCCCGCCGGGCACCGGTGCCGGCAGCGAGGCCAGGAGGCCGAGGCGCCTTCCCCGCCGTCTGCTGCTGCGGAGCCGACGGGACAGGAGCGTGGCGCGGCCGCGGGGCCGAGGCAGTTGCCGGCCTCCCGCTGCGTGGCCGTGGCCGCTGGCTCCCAGCGCCCCGCGGGCGGCCCGACCCTGGCGCCGTGGCCGCTGGCTCCCAGCGCCCCGCGGGCGGCCCGACCCTGGCGCGGTGCGCGCTCGCCTGCCGCGGACACTGCCCTGGGCCCTCCGCCGTGGGCCCTCCTCCCGGGGCCGCGTCCTTGAGCGCTGGGCGTGCGAGGCACAGGAAGCGCGCCCGCCACCTGGGGCAGGAACTGGGTCCCCGCTCCTGGGAGGAAACCGGGAACCGCCTGGAAGCCCGAACGSCACCCGCGGCCAGGGTCCCTAGGCCAGGTGGGGTCAGACGGCGACGRGGCTTGCTGACCTGGGCGGAATTAAGCCAACGATTTTCCTTCGGTTTTGCCATTTCGTGTCTGGTAGTTACATGTTGGAGATCCTGGGAGAAAAACCCATCTTCAGCCTATTTKTAAGAGCTGCAGGATCAGCTTCTGTGGGTCACAGAATGACACGGTGGAACTGTGTGCTGCCCTGTGGAGGGAGCACGGGATGCTGGTGAAGGGACCGCAGAGGCAGGGAGCACCTCTGTCCGGGGCCAGTGGCTCCTCTCGGGTGTGAGATACTTGTGACATTGGCAAGAGACCTTGTGGGTGCTATGCTGGCACTTGGCCTGTCGAGCAGCCCCTTGCTGGGATAACAGGGCACAGTGCCCCCACAGCCTGGACTTACTCCCTCCACCTGGCCAGTTCCTGCCAGGTGGTAAGCACCGAGCCCTCCCTTTTGGGTGGTGGCAGGAGTGTCTCCCGCCATGTACATGGGTTGCTCCTCATGACTGACAAGACACACAGGCAGAGCCCCCCAGACCTGGCCACCCCAGGGCTGATATGGAGAACTGGGGTCTCTATTGCCAGAACTAGTTGAGTCTCTGAGCAGTCCATCATATCCACCATCCTGATGAGGAATCATATGCCCCTGAATTGTGAGYTGCTTAGCCTTGGGAACAGGGCTGTTCTTATAATGAAGTTATAGGGTCAGCGTATAATTATAGGGTCTTCTGCTAAGACTGACTGACCCRCGGCATTGAGCACCCAGAAAGCAAGGCATGTGGGGCTTGAGGCTGCCACCTTCCCTGCTGAATCCAGAACTCTGCTGTGGCATCTGTACTTTCTTCTGCTCTGAGGCAGTAGAGTTCTGAGTGCCTGGCCTGGGGGTGCCCTGGACAGACATGACTCTGGGCCCTCAGAGGGGGCAGGAGCAGAGCAGTAAGACACTCTGAGGAGAGGGAAGGCCCTGAGAGTTGGAGGGTGAWGGTGCCCCACCTTTGCCAGGTTTTCTTCTCAGGCCATCTTAGAAGGCAATGGACTGTGTCTTCAGAGTGACAGGGGATGTGCGCCAGGCAAGTCCGAAGTCTCCAGGACAGCTTCAGCTCCCTCATAGTGTCTTGGGATTATGCCAGGGTGGGTTTGTGATTGAAGCAGAAGGATTGGTAAGGCATCATCCATCGTAGAGTGCCAGGGAATCATTGGTGGGCTCATGGTGGGGGCGGAGAAGGTGACCTTGGGCCTGGTGGAGGAGAAGCAGAGCTGCTGCTTAGACCTGGTCTTGGCACTGGTATTCAGGACTGAGCCAGGAACAGGGTGGTCCCCACCCAGAACAGAACCACCTACCCATCAGCACCCGCTGGGCGGTTGAGTTGGTGCTGAGCCCGCAGACCTCTAGGGGTCTTTCCTTTCAGATAGAGCCTGGGTCTGATTTGATCTGTGTTGCCCACCCCTAGGCTGAGAATAGCCTAATAATCAGCCATGATCTCATGGACTTTTATGGCTCCTTTTTCAAACATGTCAATAGGAGTGGAGATGTGGGGGCAAATGCTGCCTGCCCAGGCCAGCACAGCTAGTGGGACCCCAGGGAGCACTCAGCTTTCTCTGCCTAAGATACCTCAGTTGGGACTTTTAGGACTTCATGGTGTGCACTGGCTTTAGGACTGGGCAGTGAGGAAGATCACTAGCTGGACTGGTTGCCTCTTAACTACTCAAGCCAGAGAACTGTGGACAGCTCAGCCAGCCTGCTTGGAAGGATCAGGAGGCTGCCATGCTGAGCTGCTGTTCTTGTCCCAGGGCTCCTCTCCCTCCCTTCTTTCCATTCCCACTGGGCACACTCTGCAAAGTTCCTGTCATCTGTGGAGCCTGGTGCCTAGAAAGGGGTTACAGAGTGGCAGCTTCTGTGCTTTCCAGGTGGTTCTCTGTGCTGTGCCCGCCCTCCCTCCTTGGTCACACACCCTGGGAAGGCAACTAGTCGACAATTTTAGATCGAAACGTCGTCTTAGACGGGACTCAGTCTGCCCAGCACCAAGGCAGCTGTGGTGCACAGGTGTCTGCTCTTGGAGGATGGGGCTTCTTTCTCAGAAGCATGGTGAGCACACCCCTCCAGGACAGGCCCTTTTGTTAGGACTGAGAGGCTAGCACTGGAGTGGTCAGTGGCTGTGGTAGGACAAGGTGTGATTCTGCCTTTTGGTACCTAGCCACCTGTAATAAGGTGCCATTGGTGGGGAAGCACTTCTAGTGCAAGTGAGACCTGGGCCGGGCTAGAGTACGTCAGACAAGACTCAGGGCGCCACCCTCAGCCCTGGTTCAGCCTCGCCCAGGCCCCCAGCCTCCTGGGCCCTGGGTGCACTGGTACTCTAGGCGAGCTCCTCACCTGAGCCTGTGGAGACAGCACTGTCAGTGGGTTGTGGTACACAGTGTCCTCGAGGCCTAGGACGTCTCATGGAAAGAGGCCAGGGTGTGCCCAGTGGCACCCTGGAGGACTCTGCTCTGTCCATCCTCTGCACAGAAGACCAGGAGCCATCTTTGCCTGGTGTGCTCAGGCAGCCCTGGCTCAAAGTCCAGAGTGTGGTTTGGGCCTTCTTTTGGACACGGTCTCTGCTGGCCTGGTGCTGACCCTTGGAGTGTGCTGGGCTGTGCACAGAGCACCTTCTGCACTGTTGGCTCAGCAGCTCTTAGGCTCTGTCCCCATCTGAGGACTGTGAAGGGAAGCCATTTGTGTTGGTTGGATGTCCAGAATCAAGCACCCAAGAAAGCATTGGCGTCRGCTCAGTGCTTCAGGAGGGGACAGGAGTGCCGAGGATGTGTTTAGCCCACGCTAGATTTTTAATTTTTGGGGGGGGGGGGTTACCAGAAATTGAGCTCAGGAGCACTCGGCTACTAAGCCACACCCCCAGCCCTGTTTTGTCTTTAATTATTTAAAGACAGTGTCTCGCTGAGTTGCTGAGCGCCTTGCTTTTGAGCTGGGATTACAGGTGTGTGCCACCACACCTGACCTGTGCTGGATTTTTARTTTTTATGGGAGTTTATATTTTCTAGGGAAGTTTCAGGTTTGTAGTAAAACCAGTGAGAGTTTTGGACCAGGCCCCACCTTATCTTGTTATTGACACTGATCTTTGGTGTGCTACATTGTTGCGACTTACAGACCCTACCTTGTCTAAGACCCATCCTTTCTCCTTGGAGAACAGAGTTAAATTAAGCTTAGATTTTCTGAACAAGGGATAAAAGAAGAAACCAGAGAAGAATAGAGGTGAGCTCTCCTGGGTTCCGTGCTGGGGATGATGCCCCCACCTAGCAGGGTGGTCTCTGACCTGCTGTCCACCCTCTGTCCTGTGGGCCTCTGCAGCACTCTCGTGTGGACCCTGAGGAGCTCTTCACCAAGCTTGACCGCATTGGCAAGGGCTCATTTGGGGAGGTGTACAAAGGCATCGACAACCATACTAAGGAGGTGGTGGCCATCAAGATCATCGACCTGGAGGAGGCCGAGGATGAGATTGAGGACATCCAGCAGGAGATCACAGTGCTCAGCCAGTGTGACAGTCCCTACATCACCCGCTACTTTGGCTCCTACCTGAAGGTGCCTGTGGGGATAGGGCGGGGCTTACATGCTCTGTGCCTCTCATTGTYTCCTGAGGCCCAGAAGGATGTGCCTGATGTCTTGTGGGCCGGTGGGGTGGGGGGGAAAGAGTAGAGCAGGTGCTGCTGAGTGCCAGGGTCCCCTCCAGAAGTGCAGGGAGGCCTGAGAGTTCAGCAGACCAGGCCCTCCAGAAAACGTCATCTTGGGGCTTGCAAGAGAGGAGTAGAGTCCACAGGGTCAGCTGCTCTGCAGTGGCCATAGTGACCCAGGTGCATGCTGTGGGCCCTGCTAAGAGCCCTCTGTGGGACCCCTGCAGGCAAAACTCAGAGCCCAGGCTGGATGTGCTTCTGCTGGGCCTGCTGAGGACCAAGCCTGATAATGTGGCTACCTGGCATGCCTGGGCTGTTGGTGAAGTGGGCTGACACTGCTCTGAGCTCTCGTCTGTCTGACATGTGCCTGAACCAGGGGCGTCATCAGAGCGGGGGTCTGGCAAGGCCACTAGAACCCTTCTGGTTTGGCATTCCTGCCAGGGACTGGTCTGGTACAGCCCTTTGTGACCCAAGCCCTAGCTGACTCCTGGTTAGGGGTGGTACTGGCCTATGGACCCCGCACTTAGGCACGCCCCTCCACTTACTGCCAGGCACTCACAGGTTCTCTCTGCCTAGGGCACCAAGCTGTGGATCATCATGGAGTACCTGGGCGGGGGCTCTGCACTGGATCTGGTGAGTGCAGCTACACAAGGCAGTGTCCTGGGACCCACTGACCTGCAGACCTTGAATCAGGGGCTTCTGGGGGCCTCCTCTTTGGTGTCTGAATCCATTAGATGTTAGGAATGTGAACCAAAAGTGAACCACTACTCACAGTCTTGCTTAGTTTGGTGCTAAAAGGGGTTCTGGGTCTTAGCTGACCTGTGGAGTCATCAGGGTTAGTGTCCTCAGGCAAACAGGCTGCAGGGTGAGGAGGGACCAGGCTCTCATGTTTCCAGAAAAGGCAAATGTAGTTTTACCTTCTTTAAAAGGAAAGATTCTGCTCCTCCTTTCCCTCATTTGCCCTGACCAGCATCTGATACTTGTTTCAAAAGTACTTAAAGAACACAAACTCCCAGCCTTCTGCAGGGCTACCCCTATTCCTCTAGGGATATGGGTTTGGGTGCGGGTGGGRCTGAGGTCCTGCCTTGCTGTCTTCTTCCAGCTGAAGCCAGGCCCACTGGAGGAGACCTACATCGCCACCATCCTGAGGGAGATTCTGAAGGGCCTGGATTATCTGCACTCAGAGCGCAAAATCCATCGAGACATTAAAGGTCCTGCAGGGTGGGCGTGGTTCCCCTTCTGCCCTGGGCTATCCTGACCTTGGAGAAGTTGGGTGTGTGGGGCATGTGGCCACCCAGAGGCTGAGCAGTCCAATCTTGCTCAGCTTTCAGAGGATGCTAGTGCTGGGGATGGAACCCATGGCCTTGTCCCTGCTGGACAGGCACTCCACCACTGAGCTGCATCCACCACAACAGAGCCCTTTCAGTCACACATCCTCACGTGTGAAAGGGACCAGCTGTGCACCAAGTGTCGGGCAGGCTGGTGTAAACTAAGTGTTTGTCTTTGTCTGTGGTCTGGGGTATGTTTGTGTGACCCTTCTTGCTAAGCCCAGTTGAGCTGGTTCTGTAGGGAGGTGCATGCTGAGGGTACTGAGACTTTCTTTATATGGTGGAGATGCTAGCAGAGTGAGGGGCCTCCTGCTTGTCCCATGTCAGCTGTTCTTTGGGTTGGGGTCACTCACAGGAGCCCACGGGGGAGTTGCTTTGTTTTTGGAATTCGTCATAGTAAAACCAGATTTTTTAGACTAGATTCTCTGCTTCTGTTGGTGGGTGGGCTGCAGGCCTCTGCAGCCAAGGACTCCTGCTTAAGTCTCAGCAGCTAATTGCAGCAGGGGACGCCTGCTGGCAAAACCAGATTCTTCTCCACTACTGTGTAGCTTTTAATGGTGGGCCATACCCTCCAGCAGCAGACCCCTGCAGCTCRCCGCCAAGCCAATTTCTTTTGGGGTCCTTGTCTTGCAGATTAGAGGAATTAAATCCACAGATGAGGAAGAGTAAGCGCAAAAGAGTAGAGTTTATTCAAGTGAGAAGAAAAAGAGGCAGAACTCCCACAGGGCAAGCAGGACATGTGCGGGTTGCCACTTAAACCTRCAGTCTAGGGGATTTTATAGCTTCTCACGGGGCATTGATCCAACCGTGCTCAACAGGTATGGGGATGTCCCCATCCCCCGGGAAAAAGGAGTTGGCCAGAACATTTGGAACATTTCCRCAGGTTGACCTCAGGGAGTGACCACCTTTATGTTGAAAAAAAGGCTTGACATGAGCCTCTCATTGAACAAGAGCCAGACTCCTGGCTTGTGGGCTCCTGCTGGCAGTGCTCCAGGGCTCAAGGTGCCTGGATTGAGGGTGGCAGGGAGGACTCGGGTCCCCAGGGCCAGGTCCCCTGGCMCTGCACAGGGCTTCCTGGACCCTTGTGGAGCCCAGGGTGATGCCCACTACCCTGTGTTGAGCAGCTGCCAATGTGCTGCTGTCGGAGCAAGGTGACGTGAAGCTGGCGGACTTCGGGGTGGCAGGGCAGCTCACAGACACACAGATCAAGAGGAACACGTTCGTGGGCACCCCCTTCTGGATGGCACCTGAGGTCATCAGACAGTCGGCCTACGACTTCAAGGTGGCGCAGTAGGAAGGGAGGTGGGGGGGCACTGCAGCCCCACAGGTGCCTCATGCTGCCACTGTCCCGTGTGCTGCCCTGTCTAGGCTGACATCTGGTCCCTGGGCATCACGGCCATCGAGCTGGCCAAGGGGGAGCCGCCCAACTCTGACCTCCACCCCATGCGCGTCCTGTTCCTGATCCCTAAGAACAGCCCGCCCACRCTGGAGGGCCACCACAGCAAGCCCTTCAAGGAGTTCGTGGAGGCCTGTCTCAATAAGGACCCCCGTTTTGTAAGGCCTGACCCCCGCCCGGCCCCCACAGCTCTGGGGCACTTGTGGAGGGAGGATGTGGGCTCAAGGTGGTCCTCTGAGAGGGGGTGAATGGCGCCTACTGACTGCCCGCCCTCCCTCCCTCCCGCAGCGGCCCACAGCCAAGGAGCTGCTGAAGCACAAGTTCATCACTCGCTACACCAAGAAGACCTCCTTCCTCACTGAGCTCATTGACCGCTACAAGCGCTGGAAGTCGGAGGGGCATGGCGAAGAGTCAAGCTCCGAGGACTCTGACATGTGGGGCCCCACTCCCCAGAGCTGCCCGCTGCCTTCATGCCCCATAGGCTTGGGTGCTTTGGAGGGAAGGGGGTTTCCACTCGAGAAGCAGGGCCTGGGCGGCTGGCTGGGGCTGGGGTCTGGTGTCGGGYTAAAGGGAATGGCCTGTTGGGTCACCTGCATGGTGTGGCGTGGTTAGAGCTACCCACGTCRACTTGCTTCCGGGCTGCCTCAGAAAACATGAGAGGCACTTGAGACCCTGGAGGTCCCTCCCTGCACCTGGGTCATTCCTGACTCGTCCCTCTTTCTAGTGATGGCGAGGCTGAGGACGGGGAGCAGGGCCCCATCTGGACGTTCCCTCCAACCATCAGGCCGAGCCCACATGGCAAGCTGCACAAGGGGACCGCCCTGCACGGCTCCCAGAAGGTCTGTCCTGGCCTGGCCCTGGGGGCCGTGGCCCACCCCTCCACCCCACCCCATCCAGCTGTGTCAGAGCCACATGTGGTAGGGGTACAGGGTGGGCTGGGAGTGGGGCTCCAGGGAGGTCAGCCTCCACAGGGCCCAAATGAGCTGCTTGAGGAGGCCACAGTGGGTTGGACTGGAGCATTGCCTGACCCCACCCCATGTCTCTGCCCTCAGCCTGCAGAGCCTGTCAAGAGACAGCCAAGGTCCCAGAGCCTGTCCACGCTGGTCCGGCCTGTGTTTGGAGAGGTGAGGGTAGGGCTGGGCTGGGTCCCCCAGGGCCACGGTTTTGTTCCCAGACACCTGTCCTGAGCACCTTTGAGTGGGGTCCTGACCGGCTAGAGCTGGGGTTTCCTCCTGTTGGTCTCCAGGTCTCTGGCAGCTGATGGTGGTTAGGCTTATGGGTCGGGATTCATAGTGGAAGGACCACAGACCACTGACAGTGCCCTGGAAAGACCCTTTGTGTCCCCAGACCTGCTGAGGCCCTCTGGCATCCCAGGTGGCTTTGAACAGGATGCACATCCTATGACTTTGTGACACACAGCAGACAGGGAAGGATTGGGGTAGTTCAAGGTCAGGGCCACCTGAGAGCCATGTGACTTCTGGTGTGTCTTTACACGTGTCACCTGCTGGTGGCAGGTGAGAGCCATCTCCAGAAATAGAATGTAGCCAGGACCCCCACCCCCAGATCTGGACCTGGGACTTAGGTGGGCTCAGACCTGCCTTCCCAAGAGCACCAGTCACCACCCCTGGGTGACAGCAACAGGTGGAGTCCAGGTAGGGAGGATGGGACACTGGTGAGAATACAGGAACAGCCGGGGCAGTGACTTGAGTCACATAGGTGCAGTCTCTTGCGTGTGTCCTGGGGAACTGGTCCAACCCACAGTCCCACGGCAAGGTGACCTCGGTAAGGAGGCCCCTCGGGATTGGAGGTCCCATGATAACTGCTGCTGTGGCCCTAGGGTCAGGTTGGGGTGTGTCGCAGACCAGCACACTGCCTGGGTCTGGCCCTGCTGTTCCCATGGTGGCTGGGTGGCGTGTTTTTCCATCAGACTGGACCCATATGACTGCGTTTGTGACCACAGCTGGGAGGAAGCCACATATTCCCTCCCGAGAACCAAGGCCCAAGACTCCCTGGAGCACAGCGGGAGGGTGGGCCTTGTGGAAGGGCAACTGGAGTCCCTCGGCGGGGAAGGCCACACTGCCACCCCTAGCTTGCTGGGGACTCAGTGCGGGTTCCAGGTGAGGCCCCCAGTCAGGCCAGGTTTCTCTGCAGCTCAAAGAGAAGCACAAGCAGAGTGGCGGGAGCGTGGGTGCCCTGGAGGAGCTGGAGAACGCCTTCAGTCTGGCTGAGGAGTCCTGCCCTGGCATCTCCGACAAGCTGGTGGTGCACCTGGTGGAGCGAGTGCAGAGGTGAGCTGCCCAGGGGGGTGGCCTTTGCCCTTTCTAGTTTGTGCTCATGGGTCTGGAGAGGCCAGGCGGGTGTCTGGCACCCAGAGTTCAACCCTTAGCCCTGTGGTCTGATGTCTGGGACAAAGTCCCTGGCCCAGGGGCATGGCGTCATGCAGCTGACCTCTGACCTCCCCCGTGGCTTCCTGTGGGGCCTGCTGCTGAGGCCTATCTGTGGTGTGCCTTGGGACAGGCCGGGCCCTCCCAGCAGCTGCTGGGCTGGGTTCCAGGTTCTCACGGTGGCGCTGCAGGCACCTGTTCCCTGCCCCTCCCTCCTGGAGATGCCCACCCCCGCACTCTTGGGGGCTGGGTCTGTGCCAGTCCCTGCCGCTCCCAAGACCTGAGGCACTGCTGCAGACTGCACCGAGAGCCCCAGGGCCTGGCCCCGGAGCATGTCTGTCTAAGTGGCCAGGCAGTAATGTGATGGCCCTTCCTCCGCAGGTTCTCTCACAGCAGGAACCACCTGACGTCCACCCGCTGAGCACCGGGTCACTCTTCATGGAGAGCCGGTGCTGCGTCTCTGTCCTGAGCTGCAGAAGGTCCGTGCTGAGCTGGAAGCCCCCTCGTGCTGTGCTGTGACTGTCAGGGCATGCCAGCCTGCAGGCCTCACCACCTGGTTGTCCTCCCCCTGCTCCCTACCCTGTCCCCCACTCTCCTGGCCTGGCTGAAGCTACACCCAGCAGCAGGGAGCCCGTGGAGACCAGGCAGCCAGTGGGGCTGTCTTGGCCATCTCGGGTTTCCCTGAGCTGGCCCAGCCCTCCACATTCAGCCCTAGGTGGCCAGACCAAGGAGCAGAGCGGCYGACAGCTCTGCCTCCTCCCCGCTCAGGTGGGCAGGAAGTGTCAGGACACCTAGCCTGGGACACACCGTCCTTGGAGTCATGGTGACCATGTGGCCCTAGACCTGCCTGTGGTGCCAGGCAGGTGCTGTCTCCTCATGAGTATTTGTGTCATCAGAYGTGTTGTTTTTTAAGAAAACCAAGTTTCTTGTTCCCTTCAGTGCTGTGAGGATACGTGTTGAAGGCCCTGCCGCTCTCTGTTGTTAATAAAGACCTGGCCCTGCAGTCGTGCCGCGGGCTGGCCAGGCCAGGCTCCTCCGCCTGTCTCCCCAGGCCCACCCCGGTGCTGGCCTCCCTTCTCCCTCCCTGGAGTCAGAGTTCCGCACGGCCCACTGGAGAACAGAGAAAGGCAGAGGGCATAGGCGGGTGAGAAGATGCTGTTTATCTTCAGTCACAAAAGTTAACAGGTGGCATGTGACTCCTCCCTGGCCAGGGGCTCAGCTCTGCTGTTCCAGAGGCCCATGGAGTAGAGACTGGTCAGCTCCGCTAGACTAACCTTGCAGGGACCCCTGGGCCAGCCTGGGGCCTCTGCAGGGCCTGCATCCAAGGCCTGACTGATGTGGATGGGGCTGCAGGCAGGTGTGGGGCTATCTGCCTGGTTGTTCAAGGCCTGCCCTCAGATGGGGCCCTGCCCCACACTCCAAGCAGGGTTTGAGAACCTATGAGATGGAGACATCTGTTTCCCAGCCATCCACTGGCCTGCACTGCATTGTGAGGGGAAAAGCCAGGGYGTCACTGAGGCCTCCAGTGCTGTTGGTGCCGCCTCCTGCCTGGCAGGAAGCTCTGGGGCCCCAGCTGGGTCTGCTGTCCACAGCCCTCCACAGCAGGTCCTGGTCCAGGCCAGATGGGTTCACTCTTCCTCCTCCCTGACTGCCCCTTCGGACCCTGAGGCAGCATATGGACAGTCCTGCAGGAATCTTGGAGGCCGCTCAGGTGAGGTGCCGGCCCTCTGGATCACCTCCATCCACCTGCAGGGGGTCCTGCTGTCAGACCTGTGGGCTGGTGCTCACACACCCTTCCCACAGGCCCCCAACATGGAGTGAGTGAGTGGACAGCAGGGCCAGCTAGGAATCCTGCCAGCCCTCCTGAGCAGGGCACAAGGAGACRGTGATGCTCCCACTGTGAAATCACCTCTCAAACGTATACTTGCTCTCAGCCCGGAAGAAGTAGATGTGGGACTTGAACTGCAGCTTGAAGACATAGTCTTTGTGGATGCCATCAGCTTCCGTGGCGACACTCACACTATAGCCCAGCAGAGGGAGGCTGGCCAGGGGGTGGTCGTCCTGGGAGACACATGGGGTTCTGGAGACGGCTTGTACACACAAGCTGCAGGCCAGGAAACTAGCCATCCCTGCTCCCTCCCCCAGAGAACCCAGGGGTGCTTTGCCATTGGGCGCTGATCTCTACTTAGAGACCAGTCCAGGCACGTTGCTGAGGCTGGCATGGCACTTGCAATCCTGCGGCCTCAGCTTCCTGCATTGTGGGGAACCCAGGCAGGCCAGGTGAACACCCGAGCGCCACCTGGGCCCTGGCTCTGTTGAGCACACCTACCTGATGAGTCTTATAAAAGAACARACAGAAGTTGGTGAAGACCACCCAGAGCTTCTGCCAGCCGTCACCATTTTTGAACTTTCTCAGCAGATACCCTGAGAGTTGGTTCTGACAGCAAAAARGACAGAGGGGCACGTCAGCCAGCAGCCCTTCCCACCTGCCTCCCACGTCCAGGCTCCTACACAGGGACATTAGCAGGACACACAGCCTGGGGACAGTGACCCCAGCATTCAGACTGTCCATAGATTCGCCCAACAGCAAGGAGAGGRCAGGGCGGGGTTGGGGTGTGCTGTGTCTGGAAGGTGCTTCCGAGTGCTGGAGGAGGCGTCCACCCCCAGGTCAGGACCAGGCCCTGCCCCTCCTGCCCCWGGTGGCTCTGGGGCCTGTGTTCCACAGACAACTTCTGGAGATCAGCAGGGAGCTTGCCAGTTCAGGGGGAGGAGGACCCTGCTCTGATAYACTGACAATGAAGGGCCAGGCCTCAGAACCTGCCATGTTCTGGCTCAACCCAGGTGACCTAGGGGAGTCCCTGGGCCCCAGCCCAACAGAAAGGAGGAGGTGGACAGCGGTCAGGCCTGGGGAAGGGTGGGCCAGAGTCCAGAGGGGGCTTTCCTCCATGAGTGCACCAAGGCTGCTGCCCTGAGGCTCTTCTGGGGTCACCCCCAGGACACAAGTAGAGGGGTTCAACTGGAGGAGAGGTTTCCCAGCTGACCTGCCAAGGACGAAGCAGGAAGCAGCTGGCTGTGGCCAGACCTGGTCACCTGGGACCCTCCTGAGGGCCTGCCCTTGTGGCCCAACCCTGCACTCGGGGAAGTCTTACGACAGCCATACCTCGACAGCGGCACTGTGGTCAGCCCTGGACACACTCGTGTTGCGATACCAGCACACGTGCATCATRGTGTTGGCCCGGTGCTGGACCTGCCCCTCCAGGGAGCCTCGGGTCCCCCGGGCATCTTCTTCAGACTCCTGCTCCGGTGAGATCTCATCAGAGGACCCTGAGGGGAGCCAGCAGTGTTGGGTGCCTCCCTCCCCAGGGCAGCTTCGGGAATGGGCTGTGGGAGAGCTGGGTGGGTGGGTCTGCCTGGTGGAAGGGAGCAGGCAGGAGGCCAGCAGGTTGATGGTGACCAAGGAAAGCCATTTCCARAAAGCTCCCGGGGGCAGGGTCCTCGGTCATGACTCACTGGGGGCTTGCGTGCACAAGATGCCCCCTGGCAGCTCCGGGGACGGGGTGCTGCTGCTCCTGGCTGCTTGAATGGCAGCATTCAGGTCCAGCATCCACTTCTCCCTTTCCTGTCGCGTGCTGCAGGGCGGGAGTGGGCTCTGCTCATTCCTCCTGGCTCAGGAGGCCAGGGCAGGTGGGAGCACCTGTCCCAGGCCTGTGGGCCCAGAGCACTGTCAGAATTAGGGAGGAGGAGGAGGGAGGGCAAGCCCTAGAGGATCTGAACTGGGCTGGTTTGTTCCAGGAACAATGTTCTGACAATGATTCAGCTGTCGCTTCCTATGGGGGATGTGCCCAGGGCAGATGCCTGGCTGCTGAGCAGGAGGGGCTGCTCCTGAGAGCCCCATGACCAGGGAAAGGTGCCAGAGTGCCTGGCACAGGCATGCTGCCAGGTCTCCCCCTCCCCCCCCCAGCCATTGGCACTTCCCCTGGGCTGGAGGTCCCAGAACACTCGTGCCATGGGAGACCAGCCACCATGGAGACCTGCTGGCTGGCCTGTCCCCCTCAGAGGCCCACCCTTGATGAGCATTGCAACACCCAGGGTGCAGGGAGTCAGGGGCAGCACTGTGGCTAGCCTGCAGAAGGTTCCTGGAGGCCCTGGGCACCCTGGGAGAGGACGCTTCTCTGGCTATAGAACTTGGAAGCAGAGCTGGTCTCCATGAGAGAGAGGAGACAGGTCACCCTCCCCTTAGCAGGGAAACTCGATGCACAGAGGGGACACAGGAGGCCCTTACCTGGCTGCCACCACAACTGTCTTCTGTGCTGCATAAATGGTGAAGCAGTGAGGAGCAGCCCATTCGCTCTCACTCTCCTCCACCTGTGGGTGAGAGGAGGCTGGGGTGGCACCACCAGGATGGGCCGGTGAAGCCCAGACCTGAGGATGGCACCAGCCAGGGAGCCCCTGCTGTCCAAGTCTGCGTGGCCACAAGGGACGTGACAGGTGGCAGCTGGTGTCCCCACCCTATGTAGCTGTCACCCAGGAGGACAAACTCTGGACCAGAGGGCACTCAAGTACTTACCGGTGGGTCCAGCACTATCAGCTGAAAATCAAGCAAAGGAGAAGCGTTGAGCTTTTTCACTGTCAGGAAGGAGCTGCGGCTCACAGACCTCACAAGGTCAGATGCCAAGAGGAGCCTGCCGCAGCTTCTGGGCAAGTGACCCCAGGACATGATTCCAAAATGGACATCACCAGGAGAAGCCTGAGAGCAGACACAGCCACMCTCCCAGGAAGGCAAGGTCACCCAGGGATGCTGACGGTCTACACCAGGGGCTGGGGACAACGTCCATCCCGTCAGAAGGAGAGTAAGAGCAGTCTCCCAGGCTGAGGAGCACACCCATGCCACACCAGCACTGTTGTCACTCCTGCTGGGATCTCTGGACAGGCAAGTCATCAACGTGACTGACAGTGACTTTCTCAAGCCAGGGGCCATCATGGAACAGGGGCACACGGTGGCTGGCAGGATGGTGACCACTGACAGCACGGGCCACAGCCTGGATGGGGATGTGGCGGGGGAACAGCTAAGGGATGGCGTGRCAGGGATGGGGTCTGAGAGATGCTAGGGGACAGCATTGATGGGCACAAGGTGGGTGGGGGGACAGGGYAGAGAACAGGACAGCTTGCCAGAAGGAGCCAGGGCACGAGAGCAAGTTCCCRTGTGACACAGGAGAGGGAGGGTGGAGGGCCAGTCTGTTGCCTGTCAAGGCCACCAGCAGGATGGAGTCAGCTGGGTAAGGCAAAAGCAGACTGCAGACTCGGCCAAGAGCACGTGCAGCCTGAAGCCTGGCCAGGCGGCGACCACAGGCTGCCCAAGGAGCCAAGAGCTCACAGAGAGCAAAGCTGTGCTGAGGGGCAGAGGGCCAGGGGGTGCCCATGGCTGCTCAACCTGCCAGAGGGCAGCAGCAAAGGGGTGGACGTCCGTGCCTGTTGCTTTTTTCCTCTGGTGCTGGGTGTTTGACTGGGGGGGGGGGGCACTCTTCCACTGGGCCAGCTCCTCCCTCACTCCTTCTCCTGCTTTGAGACAGGACCTTGCTAAGTCACAGAGGCTAGCCTGGGACTGTCATGCTCCTGCTCAGCCTCATGGGTGGCTGGGATGCCAGGCGAGGCCATCGTGCCTAGTGATACTGCCCTTTCTAAGGCTGTGAGCAGACACATGTTCAGACCATGTTAGTGGACCYGGCCACCAGGGTCCCTGTCCTACAGTGACAGGCAGAGACGCACCAAGACCTTGCCAAGTGCCCCCCACTGTGGGACCTTGAGGATGCCCTAAGGTGTGGGAGAGCCCCACAGTGCTGTTCACCATCCTGGAGAGCCAGCTCCGCCTGGTGCCCGGGATGGGGGGCCAGCTAAGTGCGCTTGGTGTGCTCCCAGTCAGCACCGGCCCCACTGTGTGCGAGAGGACAGAGTGTGGGGAGAGGTTTGTGCTGCCATTGGGCAGTGACTCGGGCCATAAGCCTCCTGCAGGAGGGGCCACCTTGTGGAGACTAGCGTGGACACGTGTGGCCCCTGGAGGGCCAAGTGTTGAGAGATTTTATCTTACATTGTCAGTTATCTTTTCTATGATAAAAGTGTTTTATTTGTTTAAGTCCTAGGGCTTGAACCCAGGGGCACTTTTATCACTGAGCCWCACCCCAGCCCTTTTTATTCTTTGAGACAAAGTCTCACTAAGTTGCTGAGGCTGGCCTAGAAGTAGTGATCCTCCTGCCTCAGCCTCCCACGTGACTGGGTCAAAGTATGGTTTAAAGTCAACTCTAAACCAATGGACCCAGTCCCYGAGCGGCCCCTGGTGGGCAGCAGGCCTCACACACCTACAGCAGGGCTGCCTTGGGGCAGAGCCATGAGCCTGGGTGGCGCAGCAGGTTCTGCAGGTGAGAGGTCACTGCAGGCAGTGTCCTGGGCTGGGTATGTGCTCCTGGCAGAGCACGGACATTGGCTGCTGGTCCTTCCCACTCCCAAGACGGAGGCGGGCGCACACGGAACCCACAAGGCAAGGGAGCCTCCAGAGCCTGTGACTGACTGTGCCAAACAAGGCTCTCGAGAGTCAGCCACCAAGAGCACTGGACCAGGCAGATGCTGACCATGTTGAAATGAGGCCTTTTCCTCTTGGCAGACAGTATAGCAGCATCAATGGCCAGTGGCTGTCCCAGCCCAGGAGTGTGCTAGGGGTGGGCGAAGCACACTGGTGACATGGACAGAAGCACCAACAGCCTGGTGTCCAGCCAGGGTGTGGACACACAGCTTGTGACTGTTGGAAGGGTGTTAAGGGCAGCTGGGCGGCTCCCAGTTCTGGAGGAAGGCTGTGTAYGCTGTGTGTGTGTGTGTGTGTGTGTGTGTGTGTGTGTGTGTGTGTRTGTATAGGCAGTGGCCACCAAGGCCTGCTCTGTGCTGGGAGCCAGGACAGGCTGCCCTGCCAAGGGCTGAAAGACCCACCTGGAGGGCCGAACCCTGGGTCATTGAGGAAGCCCAGGTGCCACGAAGGTTTGAACCAAAAAGAGCAGCCCAGCAGGGCTCAGCCCCTGGGTTTGCTGCCCCATGAGACAGGCAGGGTGTGGGCACATCCCTGTGCCCTGGGCCAGCCTGGGGTCACTCACCAGCATGCCGCGGAGTGGAAGGAGACCCCGGATCCGGAAGTGGCTGGTCCCCGCTACACTCTTGCTTGTGTACAGCAACACATCTGAGAACTGAGGACAGGAAGCCTTAGACAAGTGACTGATAAATAAAGAGACAAAGTTTTAATGTGTTCATGGTCAGACTCTAGTGGACTTTAGGTGGCYACCATGTGATCATCACTCAGGGCAACCTGTCCTGGCCCCCAGCATAGAGGCTGAGTGCAGGAGGTGTTTTGGAGGGAAAACACTTTTTTTCATTCATTTGACCCAGCAGCACAGGAGCAGGCTGCCTGAGGGCCGAGAGCAAGGGCTCTGGCCGGTGCTGACAGGCAGCTCCCTGTCCCATGGTGATGTGGGCATCCCCAGCTGGATCCGGAAGCAGGACAACAAAGGAGACCTGGTGGGAACAAGGACAGCTGGCGGGTCCTCAGGCCTCACGAAGACAGTGCTTGTGGGTCAGCACTGAGTCCTCCTGCTCGCTACCAGACTGTAGGACACCCTACAGTCACAGGGGCCTGGACTGCCCCACCTTTTGGCTTCTGATTGCCCGGAACGAGAACAGAAAGGGACTGGCCTGGAGGCCTCCTCCCCCTTGGGACATCCCCAAACCCCTGCATGGCCAGGTGCACAGGCTGCTGACAGTGCAGCCTCCCTGCAGAGCAGCACCCATTCCTCTCCAGGTGTGACTCAGGCTGGGGATGCGGCTCCAGTGGGCACGGGGCACCTACCAGGAAGAACATCCTCTGCTGCAGGCCCTTCTTGGTGAGCTTGTGCAGGCAGCCCTCCCGGATGAACTCCTGAAAGACAGCCACGGCACGCGCTGAGCCCCCTGGGCGAGGCCCTCTGGCAGGGCCACCCCACCTTTCAGCAGCCCGACAGAGCGGAGCCAGAGGCCGGGCTGCTGCATTCACTGCGGGGCACGTGAACGCCACACAGCCCTGTCAGGTGGCCAGCAGCTGCACTGGGAGGTGTGCGTCGAGTCTCSAGGACACGTCCACACGTAGACCCCCCCACATGTGGGTGTCCACAGCAATGTCCTGCAGAGGAGGCCTGCACATAGGGCCTCAACAAGGAATGAGGCTCAGACACGCTGCAGAGGGCAGGAACCTACAGGAAGGGCCACTAAGTGGCCCCATCACACTGTGCGCCTAGAACAGGTGCCCCAAGACATCATGGCAGTGCTGCCAGGGATGGGTRTGGGACCGGGAGTGCAGGGACYCTGTCTGACCTGCCACAATCGTCCTGCATGGTCACCACATGATGCCCGGTGCCCCTGGCTGCCTCCCATGCAGCTGCTCAGCATGCTGTCAGACTGGGCATGTAGCCCGCTACCGGGTGCCAGGAGCACAGCTGACCATGGTGCCCTCTGACTGACTCTTAGGGCCATGCTGTTAGGAAGTTGYAGCAGGCGCACTGTGTGGCCCCGACCTGCCCACCTCCCCTTTGGCCCCCTCGTGGTGCCTGTGGTCAACCCTTCCACATGRCAGCTCCTAGAGCGGGGTGACCCACTGCCCGGGGCTGCGCACACTTGCTGGGTGCCGAGTGTGTGCTGAATTAGTGAACACACTGAAGACCGCAGACCTGCCCAGCTGCAGGGAGGCCGCTGGGCTCCCTGGACAAACGCTCAGGTGGAACACAGCAGGCAGCTCCCACTCACCCTCCCGGGGGCGACGAGCCTGTCCACGCCCACCAGCTCCCGCTGCAGCTCCATCAGCTTCTGCAGGTTCTCCAGGCGGGTGAGGCTGTGCTGGAGCGTGGTGGTCACCTCTGTAATGGTCTTCAAGGCGTCTGCAAGGAGAGGGTCCTAAGCGCAGGCCCCAGAGTGGTGTGGACGAAGCCCCCCACTACTCCCTTGTGCGGAGTCAGCATATAAAAGGCAGTTTTAATCCGGGGCACGTCTCCTCAGCCCCCTTCAGGGACTATTGCCCATGGCCACAGGCACCTGCCCAGCAGGCACAGACTCCTGAAACCTCAGCATGCTCCCCCAACAGGGCCGGCCACCACCGCTGCTCAGTGGGGAAGAACAGGCTTTAGGAGTGTTCCTCAGGGAGAGGTGCCGAGGGACTCTGCAGCACGTCAGATGGACGCCGGCTAGACACCACAACAAGAGCAGCCACCCAGTCAGTGCCGGCCAGAGCTGCCGCTGACCTAGTCCTGCTCTCTGGCTACTGCTACCAGGAGCATGGTGATACCCGTCCCTTATAGGGACCCCTCCCCTTTGCAGGAACCTCTTCCTGCCTGGCCACAGCCCTCAGGGTCCCACCACCTGTGGCRGGACAAGGTCTACAGCCTCACCCAGCTCCTCCCCACGGCTGCCCACACTTCCCGAGGAGAGAGCCGGCTAAAAGGGAGGCACTGGGGAGGCCGTCTCCTGTCAGGACAGGGACAAGCAGCAGGGGTGCCAGCATGGTCCTCAAGTGTAGGGCCCATAGCTGGCATCTGCACTGCCCACGCTCCCAGCTCCTCCCAGTCAGCTTGGGCCGGCCGCAGCTCCCCCCTGGCCTCTTTAGCTCTATAGCCTCTATAGCCGGGTACAAGGCGGGCTACATGCCCAGTCTGACAGCATGCTGAGCAGCTGCATGGGAGGCAGCCAGGGGCACCGGGCATCATGTGGTGACCATGCAGGACGATTGTGGCAGGTCAGACAGGGTCCCTGCACTCCCGGTCCCAYACCCATCCCTGGCAGCACTGCCATGATGTCTTGGGGCACCTGTTCTAGGCGCACGGTATGATGGGGCCACTTAGTGGACAGAGGCCATGGTGTGATGGGGCCACTCATGTGCTCATACACAGAAGCTCAGAGGCCAGGCCTATGAGCCTGCCTTGGACAGGACCCAGAGGCCGCCCTGCTCTCAGATGCTGTATCTAGAGGACACAAGGCTGAGGGCTAGGACTGTTGCTTGGGCTCTGTGCTGCCCTGGGGCTGGCACTGGAAGCTGCCGGAAGCCGGGCACACACTTCAGACCCGGTCACTGTGCCGCCCCAGCAGCCGAGGGCCAGCACSCTGTAGCCCTGACAGGTCAACACACTGCACACTCTGAAACCACAAGCCGCTTCTCCAGCCCCAAAGGTGCCCAAGTTCTCAGGAAGGCCCCGCAAGGCTGCTGGTCCACAGGCACACCTGGGCCTGCTCTCCAGACACAGCCAAGAGGGGGGACTGTCCACTCCTGCAGCCTGTTCCCCTGGCTCATCAGGAGGCACCTACTGACGTCATGTGGCCAGAAGGAARCGCCCGGCGTTTTCCATCTGCATTGTCGTGACAATGGTGATTTCCTACACTGGATCTAGGCTGGATCAGAAGTCGTGCGTGTTGGTGAAAGGAGTCCATGTGCGTCACCTGGCTGTCACTGGCCCAAAGCTACAAGTTTCAGAGCCAAGGCTTCCAGGACAGGAATACCCACAGGAGACAGGCCACTCTGCGGGGTGTGTGGCTGTGCACCTTTGGTGGCTCTGGGGCCCTGGGTTAGGCTGTCCCCTTGTGGCCCCACACCCCGTGGCTCTGTGCTGTTGACACTTGGGCTGGGAAGGGCCTGTGGTTGGTGGAGCAGGAGGAGGGCTACCTGCCTGTGGAGGCCTGCCCCCATCCCCTTCCAGCTGCAGAGAGGACCACTGACCACTCTGTGGCTCTCCTGGGTGGACCAGCACAGGGGCCTCTCCTGCCCCACTCACCGTGGCAGTCGGCATGATCCCGGTGGCCTGGTGGGTGGTGCTGGCACAGGCGGCTCAGCAGCAGACGGTAGCGCACCAGCCGCTGGAGGGGCTTCAGCAGGAACGYGCTGAGAGGCAGGTAGCAGACCTTCTGGAGCTCGAACTCTTGGTAGAGCAGCTCCAGCTTCCTGCAGCGCTTGGTGGCCTTGTCCAGTTCTGTCAGGACCTCGTCGTGCCTTTGGAAGTAGCTGGTGAGCTCCTGTGGAGACACAGAAGGGCAGTGTGCAGGGGAGAGCCCCAGGGCCTTTGCAGGCCTTCACACTCCACCCTGACCTGCTGCTCCACAGTGTGCCCGCTGCTGCTCCATGCCCGTGCCCACTGCCCACATGCTTCCTGTGGCCAGTGGAGGATGGCAGGGCTGCACTGACCTGGCAGGGCACAGCAGGTGAGTGCTGGCAGGGATCAGGAAACCCCATTCAAGCTCCACCAGGCCCTAGTGCCCCACCCAGGAGGTCCCAGCGTGGGGCTGGAGAGGCCAGTTACGTTTTTTCTCCAGGCTGAGAGTGAACCGGGGCGCTCTCCCGCTGAGCTGCTCCCCAGCCCTCCACAGATGCACTGTGCCCTGCCCCGGCCTCCCAGCAGCTGGTCGCCTCCATGCCTTACCTTTTTTCTTTCTCCCAGCACTAAGGACTGAACCCAGGGCCTCTCCCACTGAGCTGCACCCCAGACTTTTTTCCTCCTGAGACAGAGTCTCACCAAGTTGCCCAGGCTTGTGATCCTCCTGCCTCAGCCTCCATGTTGCTGGGATCACAGGCGTATGCCACCGCTGGGCCCAGCCACACCTGGCATCTTAATGACACGCCAGTGCACACAGGTTGTGACTGCTACACAGACCAACAGGTCAGACTAGACCAGTCCTCCTTCTAGAGGGCTTCAGTGGACATAAAGACAACCTGAGTGGTCTAATGAACTCGACTACCAGATGTGTGCCTAGTTCAATTTCCAGGTAATGCCAGTGCTGAGGGACACAACTTCCTGTTAACCTGGCACAGAGGCCCACCAGGGTGTCYGGCAGGAGGGCCAGGGGCAGGCTACAGGGCTTCAGGTAGCCAGTGCTGGCTCTCCAGGTGCAGGTGTGGCCAGAGCCCCGGCTGCAGAGAGCCCAGGGAGCCCGACTGTGGTGCTGCCTCCCTGTGGGCAGCTAGAGGGACAGGGCCGGAGAGCCCCTCCCCTRGTGGAGCTCACTCGCTCTCAGGAGGACACCTGAGACAGGAGCCTGGCAGCCTTCAGCCTGGCAGGGCTTCAGCGTCCCAGCCCTGGGTGTTGGGGGCACCCTGGACTGCCCAGGGTCTGCCATGGCTGTTCTCCAGGAACACAGTGTGGGAGCTGCTCTGAAGAGGGGTGTCCTGAGACGAGGCCTGTCCTTGGGAGGGCCAGAGCTGCTCGTGTCCCGGGACGAGGGGCCCGTGTCCAGGAACTCRCCTGGGCGTCCTGTGGTGGGGCAGTAGCCCCAGGACCGCGGAGCTTGAGGGAACCCTTCTGAGGATGCTGTCCTGAGGGTCCCTGAAGGGGACCCTGCTGTGGAAGAAGCCACTTGGGGGACCCTGTCCCAGAAGAAGGCTCTCTTGAGGGGCGCTCGACACTGGGTGCCCCACTTTGAGGGAGCACACGGGACGTGCCTGAGAGGACAGGGGATGGGGAGAGGCTCGGGCTCCCCGCAGTGCCGGGGACAGCCTGAGTCTCCATGGAGGCCTGCCTACCTTGAGCTGGCGCATGGCCGGAAGCAGGACGTCTCCGATGCGCTGGTGGTCACCTGGCGTGTTGGTGCCGGGGGGAACCTCCCTGGAGGGCAGAGGCCTGTGAGGAGGCTGCATGGCCAGGGGCTGAGAGGCCCAGGGCCTGGGCCTGCAGACACTGAGGCGCCTGCCTGGAGTTCTCTGGAMGGTGTGGCAGGAGAGCAGGGCTGCACACTGCCCGCCCCCAGGGTCCACGCACACTTCAGGGGGGGACGGCCCCTTGAGACAAGTCCCTGAGTGGGGAGTCTCTGAGGGCAGTGGTAGTGACCAGAGCATGGGCCACGGGGTGCAGAATTCAGGGTGTAGGCATTGCCCCTGCAGGGCCCACAGCCAAGGTCCAGGGTGTGCAAGGGTCTAGGACCCGGGAGTCGGGAGATGGGGGGCCGGGCAGAAGGCACTGTTACCAGAGTGCCAGCCTGTGCTCCACCTCGCGCAGGAAGCCTCTGTGGAACTTGTAGACGGGGTCGATGCTGGAGAAGAGCAGGGTCATCAGGGCCGCGGACATGGCACCCTCCTTGGCCACGGCGCTGCGGAACCACTGTGGGAGGAGGCGGGGCTGCTGGGGACCGAGAGGCCAGGCCTGAGGCCCRTCACCATGGGCGCCCAACACGGGGTTCCACCACTGCCCGCGGGCTGGGCTCAGCTCCAGCCCTCCTCTCCACTGACCATCCAGCTTTCAGAGTATCAAAGCAATTCTGGGCCAAAGTTTCAAAAGGAGGCCTTCCCCAAACTCTGGCCCAGGGCTTGGCTGTGACTCCTCCAACCTCTCCTCAGTCCTGCAGACTGAGCCCAGAGCTCACACGTGCATGGCCAGTGCTCCAGCACCACGCACACTCCCAGACTGTCCCAGCTTTTGAAGTGGGTGTGGTGGCGCAGGTTTGTAATCCCGGAGACTCAGGAGGCTGAGACAGGAGGAGTGCAAGTTCAAGGCCAGCTTCAGCAACTTAGGGAGGCCCTGTCTCAAAAGATAAAAGGGTCTGGGACATAGCTCAGAGGTTAAGTGCCCCTCAGTTCAATCCCTAATACCAAAAAGAAAAAAAAAAATTGAGACAGGGTCACGTTAAGTTGCCAAGACAAGGCTTGAAATTGTGATCCTCCCTCCTCAGCCTCCAGAGCCACTGGGATTCAGGAGTGGCCACCACACCCAGTGACATGTGTCTTCAAGCACATGTGCACATCACATGGTYGTCAACAGGTGTTTTTCAGGATGGAGCCTCTGTGTATGTTTAGATTTAAGAGGTTAAGAAAGTCACAGTGACAAGGACAGAGGCGCATACCACAGTGAGCACTTCTAGATCCTTCAGATACGTCCGTTCTGTAGCAAGAATCTCCTTGGCTATGAAATAGGCCTCGTCTTCTGGCATGAGCTGAAAGAAGCAGAGGCGGCCATGAGCCTGTGTCTGAGGGATGGCCAGCCTTTGACTGCAGGGGCCGGGGTTGTGACACCTGCTTTCTTCTCTCAGCCCCGTCATGGGTCTTGGCTTGGATTCTTGCAGGGAATCCCTGCCAAGCACCACAGGCACAATTCGGCCCCGGGGGTATCTCCTCACATGGTTTCTCATTTTGTGTTATTCTCCTGGAGAACAGAATTGCTGTTCAAGCCTCAGTAAGCTTCACAGCTGGGACTCATTCCSGTTGGTGATGGGATTCCTGTGGACATGCCGTAGCCGTGGTGCAGCTGGTGGGCACAGCTGTGGGTGTGTTGAACAGTGTGCATGAGGGTGAGAGAGACAAAGTCACTGAAATAACCAAGCAATACCCTCTACAGCCTGAACGTGGCCCAGGGGCTCCAGGTCTCCGCCCGGCCATCTCCTCCTGCGTGCTGGCTCTGCCCYGAGCCTGCTCAGCACACCTGGCCTTGGGGTGCCGGGTCCCATCCTGGGGCCCCCCAAGCTGACAGCCTCTGCTGGCCCTGCACAGTGCCTGTTTTCACAGCTCCTCTTGACCACAAGGTTCCTTGGGTGGACCACTCCTCACCCCCTCCAGGCAGGCACCTGGGATGTACCTCGAGTCCCTGCCCACCAGGAGCTGGCCACAGGAGAGGAGCAGCACTCGGAAATGATGAGGGCGCCTCACGCCCCTGCAGAAGGTGCATGGAGACCAGCAGGCCCAGCAGGTAGATCCTGTGCTGCAGGGAAGGGGCAGCTCCAGGGCAGCCCACGGAGCAGGCCAGAGAGGAACGTGAAGGGGCCGTTCGAGGGGCTCCTGGGGAGGCAGGCCATCTGCCTTCTGGGTGGGCTGGGAATGCACTCGGGCCCCAAGGTGTGAGGCGAGCAGCACAGAGGGCGGAGCTGTGGGGGCCTCTACACCAGCCCAGGGAGGGGACCAACCCAGGTGGGATGCACAGCAGGCCTTGGCCTAAGCCAAGGAGAGACCAGACCATAGAGGGAGGTCCACGTGGCTTCAGAGCAGCAAGAGGGTGCAACACAGAAGCCAGGTCCTGCAGAGGAGGTCGGAGCCATGTCTCCTCCTCTGTGCACCTGCCTAGTCCCAGGTCGGCTGTGACAGCCTTCAGAGCCCGGGGACGGAAGGCGACAGGTGTGTCCACCTCAGGGGTGCAGCACCCCAGGGAGGGGAGACCACAGCCCGCAGAGCTGGGCCCTCCCTGCCATCCTCTCCTCTCAGCTCTTCCCAGGTGCCTGGTAGCCAGGTGTGGCCCTGGTCCTGCCATTTCCCTCTGGAGGCCCCAGCCACTCCTGGGGTGCTGGCCCTTCTCTCCAACCCCCCAACCTTCACACTGTGTTTTTTGTGCTATTAAAATTGACTCATTCAAATTAAAATYCAGTAAAATCTCTTTAAAAAGTCCTGTCACCACTTGGATTGCTACGTACCCTGGGGTCAGCTCTGTCCCCAAGAGGTCCCACCTTCCCAACAGGGATGCCAAGGTTGGATGCCCCACAGCTGAAGGTCCTGTGTCAGGACACCTCTCAGAGGTGACGATAAGGGACTCCTCCTCATCGTCACCTCTGAGAGGGGTCCATAAGCAATAGCCTGACTCCCAGCCCCAGCCCAGCTCCTGGCCCTGGGACAGAGATGCCCACACAGTCCAAGGAGAGTCACTGCTGGGCTTCTCTCCCCAGTGCCACCCCACTGCAGGGGTGCCCAGGGGAAGGTGGCCTGTGGCCCATTCACCCATGGAAGCCCAATCAGGGGCAGAGAGCACTGGAGCCACAGGGGTCTGCCCCCGAGCCACAGGCCAGCCGGCTCCCAGCCAGGGGCACGTGGGTGTGCAAGGGCCTCTCAGGAAGCAGGGTTCCCACAGAGCCTTGCCACCTGCCTCCACAGGAGGTACCGCACAGCCTCCAGCCCCAAGGGCCAGTCCTCACCAGTCTCCACCAGGAAGGCGGGGGGGGGGCGGCACTGGGCAGCCAGGGCCTCCTGACACAGCTCAGCAGGCAGGTGCACACAGAGGCTTGAGCAGGCTGGACTCTGGGAACATGTCTAACCTGTATTCCCTGAAGCTGCTGGCCCTGTGGGAGAGTCCCCATGGAGTCTGGGCCAGCCTCCCCTGGACCACACACCTTGCTGGGACCCTGGTTCTCAGGACCAGCACAGAGGGCCTTCAGGAGCTGCAGGCACACCTGGGAGCTGCATCGACCTCATGGCCCCACAGGCCAGCAAGCCACTGCCCTGGGGACAGTGTGAGGGAAGGGCACCCACATTGGAGATGGGCCTTGCTGTGCAGACCCAGACATGTGGAAGGGCACCCTGCTGTCCCTGTGGAGAAGTGGCCGCGGCAGACCCAAGCCAAGGGCTCTCCCTCTGAGGTGGTCCTGTGCCCCATCTCCTGTCCTGTGGTGACTCCAGGCTTCTCCTCTCTCAGGGCCAGGCCTGTGGGCCCAACACATCATCACCCTACAAATCTGAAGAGTCTCATTTTGTGAYACGGTAAGTGACAAACTAAAGCTGTTTCAAACACACATTTTCTCCAAGCCATTTTTGTTTTTGAACCAAAGAAACATTGAAATAAACATGTTGTTGAGTTTCCAAAGTAAACAAATCAGCTGTCCACAAGAAATCCCCTCACTGCCCACACCAGCTGTCCATGGACATCCAGCAGCCTCTCAGAAAGCATGGGCATCTGCCGTGGTCTGACTGCCGGGGAGCCTCAGGCCCCCGCCTGGAAGGTGCAGGCACTGTCCCTGCATCCCCAGCCCTTTTAAAGCCCAGAGGCCTTGGGCCGGCAAGATGGCAGGTATGAGCCACTACACCTGGAGGAYCCCTTGTCCCCCAGGGCCAGCACCGTCCGGAGCTCACTGCTTTAAGCTCATTTGTCCCTAGATCTTTCTGGTGTGCTCACCTGCAAAACTGCAGCCCTAGGTGGGCCCAGCTGACAGCCTCCCACAACACTGCCCCAGCTGCATGGGGAGGCCAGGAGAGTGGAGGCCGCCCTGGCCACTGACAGTCCTCCTCAGCCCWCGATTCAGAACTCCTCTGCTTGCTCACTGTCTACTGCAGACCCAGTGTGCATCCTCGGCAGATACCCACGGGGCAACGCAAGCCTCAGTCTGCCCACTGCACTGCCCACATTCCCTCCCCCACTTGCCCACCAGGCCTCACCTCCGAGAACAGCCTGACCCCRGTCAGCCCCCACCATGCCGAGGTCTTCTCCCAGTGACTCCACCATCAAGGTGGCAGGAGGAGGAGAGGCTGGAGGGTGAGGAGGGCAGGCAAAGTTCCCAGGCCCCGCCTGGCAGCCAAGACTCTGCAGCCAGAACTGTGGTTGAATGAGAAAGGGTGGAGAGTCCCGGGCAGATCCCAGCCCCGTCCAGCAGAGCYCCGTCCAGCAGCTCCCCAGCCTACCTTGTGCAGAGGTTCCTCCTGGTCCTGTGTCTGGGCTCCAGCAGCCTCACTGAGGGCAGGGCTCAGGAGGGGGCCCAGGCCCTGCTCGGCTGGGCCCAGAGTGACCTGCAGTATGGGGTGCAGGCTCAGGGGGCTCCTCTGGCTGGAGGAAGAAGGCTGAGCACCGTCCACAGAAAGGCCTGGAATGAATGGGGCAGGTGAAGTGAGATGAGAAGGCTGGGCCCTCGTGCGCSAGAGGCCTTCTGGAGAGAGTGGGGACGCCTGTCCTGAAGTGAGATAGAGCTGGGCAGAGGGCTGATGGCCAGAGAGAGGTGTGGACCCAGGGCCCTGAGCAGGTTCCAGGGCCTCTCTCTGCTCTGGAGATGGACTGTGATGGGTCTCCCCAGGAGGTCAGCACCCAGGCCAGAGTCAGAACCATCCCCCAGGCAAGTCTGGGCCAAGTGCATCACCATGCCCACCATCTCCAGTGGGGTTGTGCACGGGCCCAGCTTCTGGGGTTTGCATCATGAAGACTTTGAGGCTCATCCCGCAACAGGCAAGGGATGCTTCCCCACCCGCTGCAAGCTGTGCTTCTGAACAGAGAGGCTCAGCCTGAGCCCAGTTCTAGGGAGACCACTGAGGGGCTCTYTTCCTCAGTCACTGCAAAATAGAGGTTTCCTTTTTGTTTTAATTCTCAAAGGTGTGTTCCTACTATTTCCTACGGGAATATCAGTAATTAGGTGCCAAATTTTAAAGATTTTTATTTTTACTTTTTTTGGTATCAGGGATTGAACTCAGGGGCACTTGGCCACTGAGCCATGTCCTCAGCCCTATTTTGTATTTTATTTAGAGACAGGGTCTCACTGAGTTGCTCAGCACATCACCATTGCTGAGGCTGGCTTTGAACTCATGATCCTCCTGCCTCAGCCTCCCGAGCCGCTGGGATTACAGTTGTGCACCACTGCGCCCCAGTGAAGACCTATTTAAAGCAGGTTTCACAGGAGAAATCTAAATGATGTTTAGAAGTCACCAAAGGTAGGGCTGGCTTGTGGCTCAGTGGTGGAGCACCTCATTAAAAAAAATAAATAAATAAGGGTATTGTGTCCACCTACAACTAAGCATCTATATATTTTCTAAAGTTACCAAAGGTAGACCTGTGTCACCTCCAAGGAGGTGCACTGCCACGGCACCTCACTATGAGGGTGGGTCAGCTTGCAGGACGCTGGAGAGGGGCCCCTGCACCCCACCCACGCTGGCCGCCAAGCCAGCCCTCCACTGWGGCTGGAGCCCAGGGCAGTCACCGRGTGCCAGTTTCTAAAGCCAGTCCATGTTTTGTTAACGCTGCACATGTAACTGAGCAGGGCAGCTGCCTGGAGGAGAGCAGCGGCATGCGCAGGTGCACTGGCTGCCACACGGCAGCGCCCCAGGGTGCCGCAGTGCAAGAGGAAGGCCTCACTTCCCATTGACAAACGCAGACAGCTGGAAGACCTTGCCCGCAGCGAGGAGTCCTTGGAACTTCTCTCTGTGACTTCCACAAGACACATTTACACACAAGGAAACGCTGACAAGGTCTAGTCATTATCACCATATGAAGTTACCAAGGACCAACTTATCAGAATGTGCTTTTATTATGCATTTAGTTAAATATGCTCATCAGTATCAGTGACCTCAGAGATGCTCTCTGTCACTCCTGGAGTCAGAGGAAGTGGTGCTCATGCCACCCTGCAGCACGGTCACCTCTGTGCTGCGGAGACGCCTTTCCTCTTTCCTAAGCCGCACCATCTAGGATCTGTGCCCCCAATCCTTGCCCCTGATTGGACAGAATGGCATTATGAGGTCGTCACCTTAAGGAATTAGAATTCAGAGAAAACTCTAGATGCTACTAATGACTTATTGTTTTGGTGCTRGGGTTTGAACCCAGGGGCACTTAACCACTGAGTCACATCCCCAGCCCAGTTATTTTTTTATTTTGAGACAGGGTCTAGCTAAGTTTCTTAGGCCCCGGCTAAGTTGCTGAGGCTGGCTTTGAACTCACCATCCTCCTGCTCAGCCTTGCTGGGGGATTACAGGTGGGCCCCACTGCACCTGGAAAGCCACAGTATTTTGTACTCATCACTTATGAAAATAAGTCAAAGCTTACAGGTGTGGTGGTGCACACCTGTAGTCCCAGCAACTGAGGCGGCTGAGCCAGGAGGATCCCAAGATCCAGGCCGGCTTCAGCAACCTAGGGAGACCCTATCTCTAAGATGTAGAGAGACTGGGGACGTGGCTCGTGGTTAAGTGCCTGTGGGTTCAACCCCCACTTTACTCTGCACTGGGTTTCCCTGAAGGAAGTTCAACCAAGGGAGCTGCAGACTCGACTGTGTCTGAGTGGACTGGGCGGGTGTGGCCTGGGCTGCTGGCTGGGTTGGCAAACGGGCTGCAGCCAGCATAGGGAAACAGGGTCATCGCAGCAGAAAGCAGCCTTTAATGAAGACGTCCTCGTGGAAGGACACCCCCCTGCAGAGTAGACTCTTCATGCGGAACACACCACCTCGGGTTCTGTGGAGGCCGAGTCATCATAGGATATTATTGTGGTAAAAACTTTCTATTTCACAAAACTTGTCAACTCGAAATTTAGGGAATGGATGAAATGTATCACAAATGCCATTTAACATTTAAAAAAATTGTTTGGCAAAACTTATAAATCATACCTACTTCTGATCACAGCAACACACACCCCAGGTGAGGAGTGCACCTATGGGGAGACACTTGTCACCAAGAGGTGGTGGGTGTGTGCCTTCCCAAACACAGGCCATGCAGTGTGACACAGGCTCTGGGCACCATGTGCCCAGCACAGCGTCGTCGTCCCTCGAGCTCTCTCAGCYGGAGGTGCCACTGCATGGCACCCAGGAGGAAGCAAGCCAGGGACGGTGGCTTAGCAGCTGCTCTCCACCAGTGACCAGTGACTGGCGACGGCCGAGGCAGACGTAGGCTCTGCCCCTGGGGCCTGTGGGGAGGCCCCTGTGGGCAGGCCCCTGTGGGCCCACCTGTRGGCCCACCTGTCTGTGAGCCTGCTCCTCACAAACGCACCCCAACGCGTGGCTAGCTGGAAAGTGTCTTAAGAAAACTTCCAAAGGCCGAGTCTCACTTTGGGTACCACAGGGTTTGTCAGCCTCTACTGACATGGGAGGGCCGACGCCAGGCATTTGTAGGAGCAGCTCCCCATCCGAGCTCTGAGAGGCAGGAGGACAGTTGAGAGGTCACGTGGACAGCAGTGGGGGCCTGCTGAGCTCTGCCCCTGCTGGGCGCTCCCTGAGGGCCACGCTGCGGGTGGCAAGGTGGGACAGTCTTCAGAGGACACTTGCAACTGTCAGCAAGGAGCACTCCGGCTGTGTCTTCTGTTGCTCTCTCAGCATCCACCAGAGAGTCCTGAAGCACTCCCGTCGTCTAACTGGAGACGCCAGGGGGGAAGGGGTCCAAAACCCGAGGGCGGCACCCGGGATCTGCTCTCGACCCACAACGGTAGGTACACTCTCCTTTRAAATTCTCTACCAAGCAATCCTTGAAAGTATGTGCCGCTAGTGGAGAAAGATCAGCTCCTGTTTGGCAAAATTCAAGGTCAAGCTGCAGGTTAATCAGAGTGGGTGGTGCCAGCCACAGACACGTCATCTTGAACAGAGCCGGCTGATCCCAGGAGAGGAAGGCCTGGCGCGCAGGTCCTGGGAGTCAGCAAGGGGCACGTTGGCTTCCTTCTTGGGCTGTACTCAGAATCTGGGTCAACTGTGAAGGTGAGATCCATCCGGCTTCCCACCACCTCTGCCAGCCCCCGTCCACAGGTGGTGGGAGGAGCTGCACCTGGTGCCTCTTCCCAGAGCTGTCTGCAGCCAGCGGAGGTGGGCTCCAGAGGGGCCAGCTGCTCAKGGCAGATGCTCCCGTGAACACCTTGGCTGCTCCTCCCCATTCTGTTCTACATAAACAAGGCTCTTTCCTCATGAAGACAGCAACACATTCTTAAGAACCTTCAGTTGCTGATTTCAGGGTGATCTACACCCACGCCACTCTTCATAGTGCCCCTGGCCGCCCCACGGCCTTCGCCCTGCTCCCTCAGCTGCCCTGCAGGGTGACCACATTCCCCTGCAGCTTGCCAGAATCGCCWTCAGGACTGGGGCCACCTTCAAAGGCCAGGTGCACCCAAGCCCTGCCCTCCCCGTCTCCCGTCCCACCCCCATCTCACTGCATCGACTGCAAGGGCATAGCCCRGGAGAGAGAACTCAGCTAACCAAGGGGCCTCCGAATCCTCCCCCACGTCCTCAGGTCGRGGCTGGGAGGCTGGGGTGTGGCCGAGGCCATACAGCGTGCATTGCACTAGCAGAGAAGTGCCTGTCAGCTCCTGCTGGCACTGTGCCAAGCAGCCCAAAGGCCGCCCGGGACACTACCCAAAGGGGCAGCACAACCGTGCAACCCACCTGGGCAGGATGGGTGCCCCAGACCCGCCCAGCAGAGCCTCCTAGAGAAGCAAGGCCTGGCTCAGCTCCAGCCACAGGGTGCAGGCCCTGGCCAGGAGGCAGGGAGTGCGCCCTGGGGCCACCTCACCTTTTCTATAGTGGAGCCAAAATACTCACTCACATTCTTATTTTATACTGTTCTTTCAAATAAAGGGATCTGGTGCAAAAGGAAGGAAACAAAGAACAAGAAATGGAGCAGGCATACCAACCCGGAGCACAGTCGGCCCTGGGCAGCCGTCCAGACCCACTGCAGCTAGGGCTGTGGGCTCCTGTGCCCAGGCGGGGGCTCCAGGGCTTTGGTATTTTTGTYCTAATAAAACCACCCAGGCAGGGGGTGGGGGAGGCTGGGTGGAGCTCCGTGGCAGCGCCCTGCACCTGGCCCTGGTTCCACCCCCACACTGAGGGCCTCCTCCTCAAACTCTGAGAAGTGCCCTGTGAYCAGAAGGGGACGAGGCGTGTGGATGGTGCTCACCAGGAAGAGGTGCCTCAGAACTCGCGGCTGCGAGCAGGGCCTGCACGTCACCATTTGCTGTGGTGCTTCGAGGGAAGCCGAGTTGGGACGGCTTTGAAGCACTTTCTTGAATCAAGATCTATCCAGGGATGTCCTTCTAGGGGACTCACTTTTCAGGGTCACTCTCCTGACCGGGAGCGGCAGGCACTGGGCAAGTTAGCAGGGAGCAGACCCACGTGGCAGGGGCCTGAGCTCCTGACCT